TAGATGCGTAACTCAAATGTGCATTTAGCTTAACTGACTAAACTATTTAGTCATATGTTAAGTCAAGTTTAGTCAAGATGATTATTACTAAATTAGGTTTTTAACCCTTTAAGCTGCCAGCCCTGTTATATGCCAATTTTAATTTTAATTGGAGGTTTATTTGGCAAGCGTGGAGGAGATAGAGTTTGTATTATTATCGGCGAAAAATCCGCATACTAATACAGTATATAATCTTTTATGTGTGTAACGCCCCGATAACACATGGCTAATTTCTTTACTAACATACTCTCAGTCCTATATATAAATCACAAGACTACTTCTCAAATTTTATTAATAGCTTGAATTTCCAATGCAACACACCTTACACGTAGAATTTTTTTGGGGGAGGCATTGATTTTGCACAAATGGTAGTGTGAGATAGTAGTAATTCATTTATATCATGACATAATCAACGACGCATTTTGACATTTAGCATCATTTATTATTCTCGATCATTCTATATATTCTATTCTATTCTATTGATAAAAAGTCATGTTATTTGTAATACTTCAAGAAGTGATAAAAATACTTTGAATATAATTAATTAATAAGTTGGTGTGATTGGTCGATTCGTAACCCTTTCTGATGATTCATGGTTTGGCCAACCTTTAATTATTAGTTATTTTAGCTTTACTATATTGCTTGTAGGGACGCCTCAATTATAGAGTTTCTATTCGTAATACTAATTCTTATTCGAATTATAATACAATTCAATCTTTAATTCAAACTATTCGTTTTATTTTAATTATTTATTTTTTTTATTCATCTCTATAATTGTTATTCAAATTATGAGCTTTATTCGTTTTGTTGGTTTTATTCGAATTACTCGTTTTATTCATTTTATTCGAATAAACATTCATAAATGAATAGACAGAATAAAACTTATTCAAATAGAAGCCCTATTAATATGACATTAAAAGAAATTTAGGGGTCCAGTTTATTCGAATCGAATCACTTTAAATTAAGCGCATAATTGGCTGTATGCCAGGTCTGATGACTTCGTAATAAATAAACTCAGATTGCAATATCTATAAAGTAATCACGGTTTTACAGTTTTACGGCTTACGACTTTAGGGTGTCGCACCGAATTCATTTGCGTAATCTGAATTGCCATAATTCAGGTATATACACAAAAAAACTTTAAATATATCAGTATTATTTTGTGCTTCCATATATTTTGTATACTGTACAAGACTACTTTTAGAAAAATTTTTTTAAAACACTTTGGATGAAAATAAACATCATAATGATACTTCTACTAAAAGCACACAACTAAAAATCAACTTCGTATTATATTGATAATTGATTTAACAAATATTGAAAAAATGGATGAAGATGGTTTGCAATTATAACATAACCACTTAGTGAAAGCAAATTATTTTATTGATTTTTTAAAATATTATTGATTAATATGATTGTAATTAATTATTTTATTGTTATTTTCGTTCGAAAATTATACAAAGTTTCTTAATAAATAGATATAATTAAAATTTATCGATTAACGCAAAATTCAATTATAAAAGAGTATATATTTTTTAATGGAATATATGGAAAATGAAAATTTATAAAAGATATGAAAATTTTGAATATGTCCAACCTGCAATAGATATAATGCCCATCGGGCATGACGTCAATCATACAATCCAAGGCCATTAACTGAAGGATGGACTAATGGCAACAAAACATTAGATGCAAAAGATTTTAAAAATTTAAAATGGAAACAAAAAATTTATATCCTTAAGTGAGTTATTGTAGGTTTAAATGATATTCATCAAAAGAAGTTATTCATTATGATATTCATAGTGGTAATATTCTTCAATAAAAATATACAAATACATTTATTACAGATTTAGGATTATCATGTTCAGCTAGTCAAACATCTGCATTAAACAAAATGATATATTTGGAGGGTACTACACCAGAAGTTTCAAGGAGAAATCATATACAAAAGCAAGATATATATAGTTTTGGAGTTCTGGTGTCTGTAATGTCACCTGGCCAACAACTACTCAATTATTTGGCATATGATATAGATCTTGCAGTAAAAATATGTGAAGATGTAAGACCTGGATTTCAAACAATACACCAAAATTCTATATTGAACTAGCATTCAGATGCATGGATGCTAACCCGGACAAATGTCTAACTGCTGAAGAAATCCGTAAAACTATTGATTTTTGGTTTAGTTCATTAAATGATCATTTTTATTCAAAAAAAGAGCAGGATGAATTTAAACCAATTAAAAAAGTGTTAGTTGATAAAATTTGATTCTTTGACAATTACTCCAATAATTCATCCAAATACAGTTTATACTAGCAGATTATTAAAATTTACAAGCTGTGAATTCCAATAAGGTGACAATAATAATGGTAATTATTTTCATTTCTATTAATTTTAAATTTATAATATTTATAATATTTAATAATACTCTTGTAATAAATTTTTTTGTATATAGGCTCTCTACAGATTGAATTAACTATACGAGATGAATTATCCAAATAAGTTAAACTTTTGTCATATTAAAATTATTTAATATATATTTAATTTATATCTTGAGAAATGAGATTAACCAATTATATTTAATAGTGATACTATATAAAGTGAATTGGTCTTTAACTGTCCAGTCTAATCCTGGGGACCGTGCCAGATTTAAGTCCTGAAAAAGTCCCAACTTTTTTTAATGTTTGCAATATTGTGAGGTAGTTTTTGGTCACCCTCAATTATGACCTAGTTCGAGTTAACTTTTTAGCTACACTCATCGATTAATTGTAAGCTTTATATATAATGCTTGTCAATTAATTGGTTTTACGAATTTATCTTGCTTTCTTGTAATTACTTCATGATACATACATCTTTGTGAAATACACTCTTCAAGACGCCAGAAAGAGATGAACAAAGACAATTAAAAAAAGGCAGTATAATAAAGTTACTGCTTTCATTAGTGATTATTTTTTCACCATCTTGATTTACATCAACAAAACTTTTATACAACTTTTAACTTGTAATTATGTCTACTAATTATATTAAGAATGGTTGTCGAAATACTTTGCATTTGTCGAAATTGACGACCAAAATATTGATTTTATATATGTCAGTATAGTGATGTCACCAAAAAAATGATTTGGATCCGGAACCCTTTGTCTTATCATCATCATGATAAAAAAGAATTGAGAATAATCAGCATGGTAAATACCCAACGTTACTCTACCTACATATTGAATTGTTATATAAAATGCCATGTATAACACAATTAATAAAATTATTAAAACCCTAGGTTCTCAAAAAATGTACTTTGAGCATATGCGTCGATTTTGTCTGAACCTCAAAATTCAGTATGATATGATCATAACGTTACGAATACCTTATACTAGCAATAATCCACTAGTTTTGAGGTAGTGCCGTTGGTTTGACGAGCTATTGAATAGTAATATAGTTTTTTTTGGTTAATCAACACTCTACTGACCAGTTCCACACACACAATAAGATATACATGTAAGCTAATTAAGTCGGATGCAATAATCAATTGTTTAAAATAAATAAATGACCGACCTATCGAGTTTACATATACATTAATTAAATATAATCAAATTGTGTCCCAAAGCTGATCCATGATGTTAATATATTAGCTGAAATGTTTGCTTGCACTATATAAAAACAATCAATATATGTATAGTAATAGGAATCAATTGTCTGTCACGTCACTAAAATTTATTATTTGATGATCAGCAAGTATCAAGTATCTGATTTGATTGGCTAAATCAATTTCGTCCAAAACATACAATGGAATGGATTCAATGGATCAGTTCGAAGATGCTAAATATTTAATTAAAGGAGATTTCGGATCTTTTTATATACAACACAAAATATAAACGATTATGATGAAAACAAAGGATTTTTTTTTATTTTGAGTCTCAAGCAGTGAGTGGTTTATTATCAATGTTCCTTCAATGATAGGTAAATTTAATTTAATTTCCAACTAATCAGAGATTTTGTTCTTAATTAATTATAGGATCGAAAAGATTGAAGAGTCGACAAAATCAATCAATCAATGTCGATAGATGTTCTCATATATTTATGTAAATATCATTATTATTATCATTATTTATTAATCAAAAAAATTGGTTTCGAAAAAAAAAAAAATTTCCTTGATTATAAAATATTTAATCAAATAAAGCGTGTGCGTGATATTAATGAAATAAAATTTACATGTTAATTTAAAAAAAAAAAAATTGTAAATAAAATTGACAAAATTTCTTTGATTTTTTTTTTAGAGAAAAGAAAAAATTTATAAATTATTATGATATCTTTTTTTTAAAAAGATACTTTTTTTGAATTAAATAAAGTTTTGTTAAAGGGATTGTTGACTTTTTTTTTTCATTAAAAAAAACTAGTAAAAAAAAATTTTAAAAAAAATAAATTATACAGAATAAATAAATAAATAAATAAGATATATATAATATTAATTTATAATAATAATGAATGAAATATTAAAAATGAAAAATGTGCAAAAAATGAAATTATTATTATTATTATTATTATTATTATTATTATTATTATTATTATTAGTATTATTATTATTAATATTATTATAAAAGATTAAAGTTAAAAAAAATGTTTATTCCTGTAGCACTTTTCTAGAAATAAAAAAAAAATATAAATACAAATAGTGTCTATAATGACGGTGATGATGATGATGATGATGATGATGATGATGATGATGATGATGATGATGATGATGATGATGATGATGATGATGATGACTACGGTGAGGATAATACTTGAATATAACTAAAGCTTTTGTACAATTATTCTTGTAATTTTGCCATTAATAAATAATAAATATTTACTCTATAAAAAATTATAAAATAAACTTATTAGAACATTAACATTTTATTAAAATAATTATTTACTCCTAAAGTTAAGAACAACATGATACTAACCAAAAACCTTTATCGTTACTATTAGTAGGCATAACCACCATTACTACTTCCGCTGCTCACTCTTCTACCGCCACCTCTACCGCCACCACGACCGTTAGTTCTAATCGTGGTGTTTCCTCTTTGTTGTTTTTTACTGCCACGTTTCTTTACCGTGACCCAATCACCATTAGCATTTGCGATCATAGTTGAGTTTACATTATTCTCATGAGTTGATGTTACAGGACTATCAATATCTGAAAATAAATCACTACTTGGTCTGGAATTAGATGGTGATTCAGGTGGTGAAAACGGTGCTATTATATGTTTAAAGCTTGATGTTGACAAATCATTATTCAATAGTGCAAGCTTATCTTGTTGTTGTTTCTTCTGCAGTTGTTGTTGTCCTTTTATTCCTGATCCAATTAATTTTATTGAAATTAATTCTGATTGTAGACGTGCTAACTCTTCTTTCAATAACTCTTGTTCATTTGCTATATAAACAAAAGTTTAGGATAATGATTAGAAAAGTTATTTATCATTGCAAAACTATATGTAAGAATATTATTTACCTTGTGCTTTTGATTGACTAACTTGTTTTTTTAATTTTGCGTTCTCGCTTTCGAGCTGATATATTTTTGCTTTTTCTTGAACTGGTTCAATAAATAATAAATTCAAAATTAGTTAGTATATTTATGATGGTACACAAAAATTAATACTACATATATGCTCATACAACGTACCTTGTGAATTCGTTAGATTTTGAACTTGGTTTGTTAATTGTTTAATGGTCTTTATATTTGATTTTTTTTCTTTGTCAGATGTAGATTTAATTTTATTTAATTGTTCTTGTTTTTCTTCTATCTCTTCAGATAATCTATCTTTCTCAGATTTTATGTCTTCTTGATAAACCTCTATTATACATGATGTCAATCCATCTTTATAGCTAATAATTTCAACGTATTCGTCAACCTCAGCTCTGGTGGCTATCAACTCTGCCGTTGTCCTCTTTAATTTATTATTTGATGTGGCAAGTTCTGCTTTAGTTGCATCCAGCAGGGATTTTATTGATGATAAATCAGCTCTTGCCCATTCAAGTTTGGATTTTGTAAAGGAAAGTTGTGCTTTTGTTGAATCAAGTTGTGATTTAAAAAAGGAAAGGTGTGCTTTTGTGGCTTCTAATTCATCTGCATGCTCTTCCTTGGTGGCATGAAGTTCTGCTGAATATTTGGCCTTAATCACTCCTATTTCTGCTGCAAATTTGGCTTTGGTTGCCTCTACTTCTGCTGAACACATTGCTTGTGTTGCTTCTGCTTCTGCATTGTATTTTAATTGAGTATTTTCAAGTTCTAACTGTGTACTCTCTAGATCATATTGAATTATCTCAAGTTCTTTTTTCATCAGTTGTAATTGACTTGTGTGTGATTGTACTAATTTCTCGCGGTCTGATGATTGATCTTGCAGTTCTAACACTGCCAAATCTCTTTCTTCCATTATTGAGTCTAGGTCAGTTTTAACTGTTTGTAATTCATGAGCACATTCCAACAATGAAAAATTCAAATCTCTTATTTCTTTCTCACGCACTTTTAATTCAGATTTTATTTTGTCCAACTCATTTATTAAGTTGTCCTTCTCTTTTTTGGTTTTTTCTGCCATCTTCGTTAACTTATTTATTTTCTGGTCACGTTCCACTAGTGAACTTTTGAGATCTGTGATTTCATGACTATTATCTTTTAATTGCTTTTGTGCTTTCTCCAATTCTGATAAGGCCTTTTCTTTTTGCGACTCCAAACCCTTTAGTTTCTTTTCCAAGGATTCCAATGTCGTCTCGCGTTGTTGTATTTCCTCTTTTAAACCGTGTATTATTGTTAAAGGTTCGACAACTGATGCACGTGTTTCAGCATCTCCGTTATTATTAAGATGATGACTAGACCTTTGCTTTTTTTTTGTTAAATAAGTTTTTAATGTTGAAGTTATATCCTTACCATCCTTACTATTATGTTTACTATTTGTAGAGTTTCTGCTGGTGTTGGTATTGGTATTAGTGGTTGCGTTGTTGCTAGTAGTGTTGTTAATGTTTGGTGAAGTTGGTGAAGTTGAGGTGGTAGTTGTGTTGTTTGTGGGTGGTGATGATGACGGTTTTGATGACCGTTTTGATAACGATGATTTTTTTGTCGGTGTTTTTGATGATGATTTTGATGGTTGTGGAATATTCGATATACCTTCATCCTGTGAACGAAAAAAGGCAAAATTTTGTCTAGTGCTACTTATATTATTGTTACTACTAATAGCGCCAGTACTTTGTCGACCTCCCGAGTTCCGATTTTTTAGTTGTAAAAACTTTAATGATTTCATGAATTGTTGGGGGTTTTTTTAAAAAAAAAGTAAAAAAAAAAAAAAAACTTTTTTTGATTCGAATTGAATTATATTTTAAATTTTTTTTTTATGAAAAAATTAATGTTTTTTGTTTTTGTGGAAAAACAAATCTATATTTATTTATTTATTTTTGTGCATCGTCAGAATTAATATCAATTCGTTTAGCTTAATTGAGTATTTTTTTTTAACTAATAAATATTTTATTTATATTTTACTAATTAACTATTTGTTTTTTTTATTAATTAAATTTATTTTACGGATTTAAGAATATCTCGACAAAAATGTCGTAATTTATTACATGCGTTATTATTTATTATTAATTATTATTATTATTTTTTAATAATAATGTACGATATTGTATGAATATCATTCATTTATTATTTATTATTCTTACGTAAATTTTCTCATCGTTTATGCTCTATGTGGAACTTTTGTAGCATCAATGAGAGCAATTGATATATTAAATTGGGTAGAGTTTTTTCTTGAAATTTTTGAACTTTAATTTGTTCATTTTTTTTCAAAATTACAAAAAATAAATAAATTTAAACTGTACATATTTTTCCTTATCTAGACGCAACTTAAATGTCAGTGCAACATAACAATAGGTTATCATTGGAAAAATACTTCACAGGCCATATATACAGTTGTAATATTGGTGTTGCTTTAAATAATTGAATAAAATATTTTGTGAATATATATAGAAAAGACGTTTTGTTGTATATAAATATGAATATTCTGTTCGTCCTTACTCTCAGGATTTGGAAATAGGAATTTATTCTTGTGTAATAAATAAGTAAATAAATAAATAAATAAATAAATAAATAATAAATAAATATGATTGATTAATTTGATATCTTTGTTGATTTCAAATGTTAGCAGCATTTACACTGGGTTATGGTTATATTTGACGTGTTTAATAATGGAAGAAAGAAATTAAAAAAGAAAGATATTATTTTCACCAATTATGATCATAATGTCGTAGATTCTCAAAGTATCGTTAATGTTAATATTTTTGAATTAAGACGCTTATTCCATCCATCCTGCATGAAACAAACATTCCGCCAAAATTAAGTTTAATATATTTGACCCTAAGGGCTTGAAATAACATCACAAAAAGAACAGAATTTCACCATATGATCAAGTTTACTTTTAAGGGTAGGTTCATTCTCTACATGTTAAAATTGTGAAACTTGTATTTCATTGGTCACAAATTTCTTTGAATTCTTGAAAGTTTTTAACCAATGATTGAAAAAGTGAGTGGAGTTCGAGCCCCCAAAAGGTTAAATTCTTTGGATCGTCCATATAAAAAAACTAGAAATTCCTTCGACATATCTTGTGTTTGTACGAAAACAAATAAACTAGCTTGAAACACTTTATTAAAAAATATGATAACAAAAATAAATTGTGTATATATATATTTAATTATTTAATTTATAATAAATTAACCTTTTATTTGACAGGGAATAGAATATAATAATAATAAATAGATTCGATAATCCATACAGTACTATTAAAAAATATAAAGATTTATCGAAGGCAAGTAATTAGCAAAATAAATAATCATAATTCTACTGTATGAAAAAGCCTAATGAATATTTTATTCAATTTTTGTGTCAATGAATTCAAACAACCAACATTTTTTTTAGACAAATTAATGATTGTTACATTTGTATTTTTGTAATAATTTATTTACCCTATTAAAATATCTAACAAAAAATTTAATTAATTTATTAATATGAATTTAACCTAGTTGCGGCAAGTAACCTATGGATTTTTCGGAGTCCTCATAATGCTATTTTTAATTGTAGTGTCATGTTATGAGCGAGGACTTTGATAAATTTACATCTATGCTCGCTTTTCTTCTTCCATTCTCACCAATTTTAATTACATATTATTCAATGAACCCAATATGCTTAATCTTGCAATATCATAAACTCTTGAATATCGATTATTATAAGTTTTATATACTTCGTATACGTCATTTTCTCCATTATTTTTTTTGTTATCACTACCAATATCCTCATAATCATAATCGTCGTCATCAACTTCTTCTTCGGTTGTCCATTGGTCTTCTTCGTCTTCTTGTTGTTCTAACAGGTTCTCGTAATGCTGAAAAAAACAATCAAATAAATAATCATCTTTTCCCAATAAAAAAATAAAACAAACAAATGTTAATATTACTAACTTCTTTAATTTCTATTAGCTTCTCATAATCTTGATCGTTAATATCCATTTTATTCAATTCTAAATTTATATTTTCAATAATTTCATTGTAATCCGGACATTTCAAAAACTTTTTTAATAATTTGTTACATCTTGGACATTTGCTAAACTCCACTTCTTTCTCTTGTTTTTCATCTTTCTCGCTTTCGTCGTCATCCTCCTCGTCCTCGTCGCTCTCATCAATTACTTCCACAGCAATATGATATAAATTATCAACTTTTGGTTCAGGATACCCACACTCACTACATGCAATGATTTCTTTATGAAAATGATTTTGTTGATCACAACTATCACAAATTTGTCCTCGTTGTTGTTGTTGAATTCTTTTTCTACGTTTTTTGATTATAATTTGAATTTTTTTTAATTCTGATTGTTTTTGTCGAAACCATTCTTCACAATTGTCACATTGATACTGAATATCATCATCATCATCATCATCATCATCATCATTATTATTATTATCACCATTATAAAATCTTGATTTTGGTTCATTACATCCTTTACAAATACCAAAAAAATTCTTTCTTCGATTTATTATTATTGATGTTGCGGATAATAATGATGGTTGTGTGGATTGGGGCAAGGATGAAGGTGAATGTTGTGATGTGGAAGAATTTGTTGTTTTAGTTGTTGGATTAGATTCCATTTTTTTTTCTTGTTTTTTTTTTTGAAAATTTTCAAAAATTAAAAAAGTTAAAAAAGAATTGAAAGATATAATATTTTTATAATATTTATTATTTACTATAATATATTATAATTATTATAATATTTGGATCTTTGTATTATAAAAACAATTATTAATTATTTATAATAATCGTGTGGAATTAATTACACATTGTTAATATTAATAATGTTGTATAAAGTGATACATGCCAAAATAAAATTTAAATATATATTTTTAGAAATATCTTCAAATCTCAATTAATTAAACAATTCAATTATTTGAAATTAATTCATTCTATTTTTGTAAAAAAATAAAATCAAAAATTTCTTTAATCATGCAGAAAAAATGAATAAATATTCAGGTGGAGTGGATAGTTTCCAAATTTGTACTAGCTTACTATATAAAAAAGCGTTGACCAGTGTGTAAAACTATCTCTGGGAATTCAAAATTTGATTGGATAATAAATGTTACACATACTCTTGCGTCTTCTTCTATAGATTTACTTTATTAAGTTATTGACTAAAGATATTCTGCCATTTTATTTTTTTATCATTTTTAGTGTCCTTATCATTCTATTTTGAGTTTCTGCACTTGGTATTAATGTTTTTTATTGAATCTTTAAATGAGTGACATACCATACTGATATCATTAAATGTTTTCTTTAAGTCATGTTTTTTTGCTCTTTAGTCATTTTTGATGTAATGTTTTACAACTCTGATAATATTTCACCAAAGACAACATTAATAGTAGTGAATAATCAGGAAGATATTCTTATTTAATGTTGAATTCTAGCAATAATAAGAATTATAATACTAATGACTTAGAAGATCTTGTTGACTACAAAAGGACTCAAATTATTTTTGATATTAATATAAAAGGGTTTCTTGACATTGGGCTGAACATTTTAGATCATCATCATTTTATTTTTTGATAATTATTACCTAGAAATTGTAGATGCTAAAAAACAAATTGATGACAATGAATTTATATCTATAGATATAGTCAAACCTTGTCACAGTGGACCTTGCCACAGTGGGTTATAATTAAATTCTTGTCATAGTGGATTTTTAAAATTCTTGCTTCACATATAAAAATCCATTGTGGCAAGATTAGTAATCTTGCCACAATGGATTTTAAATAAAATTTTCTTATATGTCCCATTCATCTGCCATGACAAAGTTTGACTGTATTACAAAAAAGCTACGTTATTGATATAGTTTTGAATGAAAAAACTCCTTATCTCTAGAGAGATGTGTGTATTCTTTTATTGAAAAATTAATAAATATAAATATATATAATTAATGAAAATAAATTGTGCAAGTAATTGTTATAGAAATTTATTTGATTTATCTATTTTAATAAAATTATTCTTTTTTCTGTATTTAGCCAATTATTATCAGCCAATGAAATTTAAGAATAATGGTCAGACCCACCACCATCAAAGTCTTGGTCTGCCATGTCCAATGCCTTGTTCACTAATATATTTTCTTCTAAACCAAGGATCTTAACCAATCCTTGTATGATTCCATTTCTATTATTGATAGATTCAAGGCCATCAATGCTTGGATTAAGTTTCCAGCTGAAACTCTTTTTATTAGTAGCCGAAATTGCTGAAACACTTTGAGCAAAATTTACTTTTTTATAAGCCCAAAATATTTTTTTGTTATAAGCCAAAATTAGGCAAAATTACTTTAAAGTTGTTTAAGTTAAATAAGTTGATTGGTATAGTTTTTTAATGTTCATGTTTATAAAAAATGCTGAGAAGCCCAAATTGCCCAAACTAGTTTGGGCTTTGAGAAAACAGTTTGGACTGGAAACCTTAGCCTGGATTGCCCTTTGTTAATATAGTCCACAATTAGATTCAATTTGGGTCTAAAAAAAATATTGTCAAGGTTTGTAGTTTCACTGCCCAGATAAACTTAATTATATACATGGTAATGTTAACTCTTCAAGGGCTATTATTTATTCAGTTTTATTAACAATAGTTTTAATAATCAATTTTATTATATTTTATCAATTATTATTTAAATAATTAGGAAATCAAAGATGATAGCATTATTTTTTTGTTCCAAAGAATTCAAGATATTTAAATATTTGATATGATGATAATAAATCAAAGAAAGACCAATCCAAAATATTGTAAGTGGTTCCAATTCGATTAAATTAATAAGCAAAAAGAAGTTTTCATGTTAAATTTACCCTGTTAATATTAGTGATGTTATTGAATTTGCTTTTTATTTATTTTAAGCTTTAAAGCTAATTCCTATTTTCTATGCATGCGATCCAAATTGTTTTGCTAATGTTAATGTCAAAAGCAATATGAATTACTATTTTTATTATTAAAAAATTATATAGAACTTTTTTTTACAATCATTAGTAAATAATCTATTTCTGTGGACATGAGTATGAACAAATAAACAAACATAATAACAATATATAATAAAATATATCAATTATTTATAAGACATACTAATAATTGTGTCAGAAAAATTTTCTGACATGTCATGTCAATGTAATTGGTATGGCTGTTGTTGCTACACTTCTGTTGAGTTTGGCCTAAGAACCTAAATTATGAATTATATAAATTAAAATTTGAACAAGGAATTAATTTTTCTGTGCCAGTTGAGTTGCATGTTAAAAGAATTGTAACTCTATTCTTATTTTTTTTTTTTTGGTTCCTGGGAAGTGGTCCATGATTAGGTTCCATCTTCCAGGATGTGATTTATTTATATTCTCAAAACTTCAAGATCAATGAAAAACAGTCTGATATTTTTAAAATAAACTAACCATTCAAGGAAAAACACCATATGGATTTTTTTTACCTTTCCATTTCTTTATTTTTGTCAATTGAATCAATGGCATTCATTTAATTGACAAAATGTTTAATAAATCATTGTTAAAAGCAACATCCATATTTCCATCAACTGATAGTATTAATTTTATTTTATTAATTATCATTACAATTTGAAACCTTTGAAGAGTATCTTGGATAGAAGTTATAAAATTAAATATGGTGAATGAGCAACTGCAGATGAATGTCTTTAATAGTAAAAGGAAAACAAAAGATCAAATAAAAATACAATGAATGTATTTTTTGTAAAAAAAGGGTTTAATCAAATGAAAATATCGAATGGTAAATACAAACTTGGATGTTTTTAGTATAGATGATCTTGCTCTATTAAAAATTTTTATATATAATAATGTGACTAATATTATATATAGAAGTTTTAAATAGATGTTCATTATATGGAATAACACAAAATTTTTTATTTAAAAAAATAGGGATAAGATTTTGTTCAATATGACAAAAATCTGTAAAAAATACAACAAACAGCTAAGTTCATTTGTTTCAAATTTAATAAATGCTATTTATTGTGTTGAAATGTGCAAAACATATATTTGCTATTTCCTACCTAACACCAAAAATATATTTCATTGTATATATATATTATTATTGCTGATTTTGCTATAGTTTGTCCAACGACCTACTAAATTTTGCACAAATTTTAAAAGTACGAAGTCACTTTCTGTTGCACCTTTTAAAAAATAGCTTCATTTATTGATAGAATAGGTTTCTAGTTTAATGTAATGAAGAGATTTTATCAAAAAAAAATATTTGTTGTAGAGTTCTATTCTTTTTAGTGCATGTATTTTACTACTACTGAATTTAAACTAGTCACGACCATCATATTTAAACTTAGTGGTAAAATAAAAAATTTAAATCCAAAATCATGTGAGACATATTTTAATGTGTGGCGCAGCAATAGGAGAAAGATTAGAAAATATCACATGACCAAACATTTTTATTGCATTTTTGACAGTCGGTACTGTACATTTTGCATTCTTGTACTGTATGATGAGTATATAGACATTCAGTACTGTACTCTTTTGCATTCCTGTACTGTATGGTCTACAAAAATAGAATTTTTTTTAAAAAAGTCATACACCAATATACAGTACACAGCACTCCCACCAATCAAATGTATTCTTTACTCGCAACATTTAATACAGAAATGCTGATTTGCAGATCATACAGTACAGGAATGCAAAAGAGTACAGTACTGAATGTCTACCAACTGCTAATATAATTATTATGCGTGTTGGTTGTACAAAGAAGCACCTATTGTTATTTTTTTGGAAAAACAATTTATCTTTTACAAGATGAGAAAGTGCAAATGTATGACTTGCTCTAAAGGAGACATGTTGTTATTTATTGATGGCAAGAGGTACACTATTTTTTGTTGCATTGTATTGTTTTTTTTTATTGTTTAATTGTTTTTATAAATATTGATATGTGTTGATTCTTAATAAAATGTCTTGTTGAAATCAAAATGCAGAGCAGATCTTGTAGTGTCTTGGGTATTTATGAGATTCTTTATCATGATAAATGATTGGTATCATTTTTGCTTTTTGTAATCAACATTAATAATATTAATATTAAAATAATAATAAAATGTCAAGGCAATACAAGGAAGGGAAACATTTTGATATGTGACATTTTCATAATTGTACACTTCACAGATGTCAAGGCACACACACTACCTTGTCACTTACAGTCATTCTCACACATTCCTTGTGTACACAAGGCTAATTTGACCGCACTGCCCCTGATGATTTGATGATGCAATTAAATTCCAGAGGGGGGGGGGTAAGGCTCTGGAATTTATTGAGATTGCATTCATTGTCAAGGACTCTTTTGCAAATCCTACCTCATCTTTCCTCATATTGTCTGACCAGAGAAGACTGCTGATATGCTGGTCAAAGTTGACTGCAACGATCCTACCTCAGGGGTAAAGGTGGTTGGCTATGCAACAAAAAAGTTGTGCAACTCTGGATGTTACAGCCTGGGTTGAAGAGTTGTGATTTTAGGTGTACATCAACATCTAGATTCATTGAGGCAATGAGAAATTGCTGCAATTCAGAGTGAAATTGGGGACTCTGAAATCGAATTTGGGCTCTGATGTTAAGAGGAAAGTCATAAAATAGTTTTAGTTCTAATTATTTCTTAAATTATCTACTTTTTACTAAACAAACTTGTAATTTTGGGAGACATGGGCTTTTGCCTAAATGGTCCCTCTCCTATAGATTAATATTATATGGTAATATCTTTGTCAGCTAAATGCCAACACTCATCCCTGGCATCAAAGTGGAATTTTTTGCATTTCTTTCAGAAAGGCTAACAAGAAAAAAGCAATAAACAGTATGGATTTTGGTATGTTCTGCACAAATTAATCATTTTTCGAAATTTCTTTTTCTTGGTAAATTATTAATTTGGTTAACCAACTTTATTGTTTTTTGAACAGGGAGGTAACTGGGCTTTTGCCCAAATCATTCCTTGCCCTGACAAAACTGCAACCCAGGTTGCAAACTTTTTCAATTGTAGAATTTCATACCAGTTGCAGACACAAACTTTTACTCTAGTGGAACAACAATCATTGCACAGCATCAACTCTTGTCAACATCAGGAAACTTTTCCCGCCATAATATTACATCTGTAAGTTTTAATATGAAATGTCGTAATATTTCGCATAAAAAGGATGTAATATTTACACTGAATGTAATAATTGCGTAATTTTTGTGCAATTTTTGCATAATATTACACTATTTACATAAGTTTATGGCGGGCCCCATAATATTA